GTGTGTGTGTGTTATATAATATATATATATATATATATATATCATACCTATATATATATACATATTTATATATATAAATAAATATATATATATATATATATGTTTATGTTTATGTTTATGTTGATGTATATGTATATGTGTATATATTATCTGTCTGTAATACATCCTTCCCTGTATAAATTTTTCATTTCCATCACATACCACAACTCAATCCCGCACAATACACCCGCCTACCAACAGAGAATGCAGCCATACATTACCTTTGACAGGGGGCCATATCTCAGTGGTTGCCTCGCCATCGTCCGCGGCAGCTCAGCGATCGACCTCATCTCCCAACAACTTGGAAGTGATGACCTTCTCACTTTACAATACTGCGCCAGAGGTTTATTCCGGGCGATTGGTGGCCATGAACGACAATTATGTTGCCTACGGTGTTAAATGTATGTTGAGTGTGTGTTCATATATATGTGTGCAACATCTTGGCCGTCATGGCAATCTCACTATACACTACTGACCCAGAAGTCATTTCCGGGAAGTTTGTCTATGTGTGATAACTTTTGTTGCTCGCAGTGTCGCATGCATGCCTAGCACGGAGATTTATAAACATGAGAAACTTAGGAACGCTTCCTATGTCGACCTAGAATTTCACTTCTATGGATTGGAGAAGAAGGGTTTTACCGCAGTCCAGTGTACATAATTATTTATAAGTAGTTCTGGTTTTCCTGTTACACCCACAAGTGTACTACAACACCATAAAATGGAAGTCCTTCATATTTTTCATTATTTTATTGTGGTCCAGGGTGTCTATACTGCCATGGCTACATGTGTACACGCTGGCATGAGCTACATATCATGCCCAGACCCGTAACAACTTTCGATATACCAACACCTAAGGGTTGAACAAATCGAGTGATAGCATTTGCATACGCATATGATAGCCACCATGCATATATCATGAGCACACCGATATGGTCACACACACTGATAAATGCTGCCGTCGCTCATCACATCAGGGTTGGTTTTGGCTTGCGTATAGTATACAGCCACATCTCGCAGATGCGGACGATACAAGACGATATCACGCTTGTCAGGGCTGCGGTTCTCATACACTGATAGATACTAACGTCGCTATATATATTGTCGGTGGGGCTACCTGCGGCTTGTGTATACTACGAGTGGTGCAAGCCGATCTTCCGCTTGTCAGGGCCACGGTTCTCATAAATACTAACGTCCCTACATGTATTTTCAGTGCGGGCTGGGTACGGTGTTCGTATACTGCACCGCCACACCTCGCAGCGGGGAATGGTACGGGACCATCTCACGCCGTTGGTAGACATGGCGTTCATGGGCGATACGTCCGATGTCCTGGCGACTATGGACCAGACGGGGCATGTGATAGTCAGTGCTGTATCGAGTGGCGACGATGCCTCGGCGGATCTGATTGTGATGCGTGGGTGCCACATCTACGACGAGGACAACCAGCATGTCCCGCCGCAGAATGCCTTCAGTTCCGGCGCGCTCGCCTGGCTGTCGTGCGACGGTGTGTGTGTGTGTGTGTGTGTAGGTATCGGTCGTCTCGGTTATGTGGGCGTCTGTGGGGAGCGCCTTTGTTCAGTCTTGGTAATGTAAGCGTGCATCCTTGGTGCTTATGTGTGGTCTTGGCTATGGCAGCCTGTGTGTTGCTCTCTGTTTTGGTTCAAAATGTTGTATGGACTATTGCGACCCTCTGAATTTACCAGTACTGAATGCTTTCAATTCCGGGGCGCTGGCAAGGCTGTTGTGCAATTGTGTATGCAGAGTTGTTTGTGATCTCGACTGTGTATGCGTGTATGAGTGTGCCTCTGTGCCTGACTTCTAAGCGGGCACTCGTGTGTTGAGGTGCATAGGTTAGCGTGTGTATGTGCGCGCCTATATGTGCAAGAATCCTATGTGTATAAGGAAGACAAGCGGATTGTTCAGCTGATTGTGGTCTCGGGCTGTTGAACCGTGTGTGTGTGTGTTTGTGTGTTTTGGTTGATACTTTCAGTACGAAAAGTTTAGATGTATATGTAACACGCCTGTTTGCCACACTAACGGCATAGTTGTTCAATATGTATTAGCAATATTCACTTTTCATTGCGTGGATTCCTAAGACATACTGACATACTTTACCATTGTGAGCTGCAGGTCATGGCCGTCTACTGGTAGGAAGAAACGGGTCGCGTGCGTATGTGTGCGATGTCTCAGCTCTGCGCGAGGCTGTGGGAGAACAGCCCATCAACATTAGCGCAGGACTGTTCAACGGCATCCGATATGTACCGAACATCTCGAACGTGACGGCTGTGAGCCCAAATAGGTACCTACATCAGTGCTTGTAAGCACTGATTGTGTGTTAGGTGCACATTTTGTACATTTTAGCAACTATGTATATATTCATGTCATCGGTGTGTATACTCGAATTGTATTGCTCTGTGTACGTGTCGCACTCATTTTTTATATTATATGTAGACTTATGCATATCATGAGAAACTTATTAAGGTGTCGATTAGATTCCCACGTCCAATAAAGGCTTGCGCCTATTGAATGAGTCGTATCAACATATGCAAGTGTAGATGATCATCCAAACCTCAGTGTTGGTAAATTGACGCCATTGCCACACAGCGGTGGTACTGTTGCTCTCGCAGGGGCGGATGGCACGGTGTCCTTTATTGACAAGACGAGTTTGGATGTGGTTGCAATGACAACGGCGGCTAACCTTGGCTTGGACACGGTGGACCACATGAGTTTTCTCGACGAAAACCACGTGCTTATCTGTGGCAATTCCAACTCGCATGTGGTGCTTTATCATCTACAACAGCAGAGAGAGCTGCAGCGCTTGTCTTTTAAAGCTGTAAGTATAGTGAGCACAAGAATGTGCACACGCACAGTTTTTGACGTAGTGTTGTAAGTTTTGACAAAAAGTATTATGAATGAACATAGTCGTATAGGAAACTTTTGTTCGGATTCGTGCCTCCATAGATAGTCAATTTCCACATCATGTACGTGCTTATTCGCTATCATCATATAACCTTGTAACCTTGACGTCGATATGTGCATGTGAAATTGAAAGTATAGGCCTGCTTTACTTTACGCCCATACAGCCTGGAGGGGGAATGCCGAGCTTGTATGTGTCGGTAGATGCGTCCAACCAGTACATGTTACTGTCAGACACCCACGAGGCCACTCTCTATGTCGTCAGCTTCGCAGGTGCCGCCGAGAAGTCGTTTTCCCAAGTATGTTTGTCAGGCATCGTATCACATATATTTTTTCTCGGAATTCCATATTATTTCAGTATCGGTGGAACCCAGCTCCGAGTATTTAGAAGACTATTGGTTCGTGTAACATTAACTGTAACATAGACGGTTCAATTAAGACTGACTTGCATACGTTCTACTAACATGTTCTACAATTAATTAAAATTCGTATGTTTTTACATAGCGACGAACGCGTATATGGATATGTGAACAATTGCTAAGTAAGTGTATGTATATGTTTGGCATTAGTGTTTAGAACTGAATATATCTATCATGGTGGTTGGGTTTTAGAAAAGCAGAGACATACACTATCCAAAACACGGCCTATAGCTATAAATATACGACCTTTACTCCTATATATACATGATAATACGTATGCCCCACACACATAAATCTACATATATATACATATGTATGAACCAAAACACATCTCTATACTTATCCAATCATATGCACGGCAATCTCTATCCATTTCCATCTTAGATCCGGGAGTTCAACAGTACTCTGCCTATGCTGAGCTTTGTGTGTGCCGCAGCTACTGTGGGAGAAACTGAGGACATGAGTGACAACGCCGAATACAACCAGATGAAACAGGAAACACGTATTGTAGTATTCACAGCCCAATCAAAAGCCATGCAGCAGCTCACTCTACGTTTCCCGCCATCCTCAACCAATGAAAAGGCAGAGGTGGCCACGAACGCTGTTGACCAATCAGATAGCGAGGAAGTCGACGGAGTGTTGCAACAGACAGTGACCGCACTTACACCTGGCGCATTCACTCATGACGGCGGTGATAATACAGCTGTAGGTAGAGATAACAGCGGTAGGGATATCGATACGGTTATTCATGCCTCGGGAGACGGTTTGGAGTTAGAACAAAGTATGAGCGCCACAGAGGGCATTCCTGTGCTCACCCCCACAAATATCAGACAACAGAGCAATGAATCCACTCCCAGGCACTCACACACCCAGACACCCACTGGCACGATCACCCCAACTCCTTTACCCGAACAACCAGTACTACCCTCACTTGATGCACCTGGTGCACAAGGACGAGATAGAAGTACCGATCATCTCGTGGTAGCCTCCAATAGTCCCCCGCAGGTGCATGTGGCTGCCACCCAGGACAAGGCACACGCGCACACACAGCAGCTACAAGGAGTGACACAGCCAATTCAAAAACAATCACATGGTGGTAACTCCCCGTCACAAGCACACGCACGTGCACACGAACATGTCAACGCTATAGCCAATGCGAATGCAGGTGCGCAACCGCAGATACAGATACTTAAGAGAGGCGAGGATGCTGGCCAAGTGACCGCTGCGGCTACTCATTCTCCACCACCAAAGTCCGAATCGATACGGTTAGTGCATACAGATTCGCGCGTGTGTTTATTGTGCTTAAATATGATGTATGTGAACCGCAGGAAGGCGTAACAGATCATGTGCGCCTGCTGATTAAGTGTGAATGATGGGCGATGATAATTTGTCGACAACCGATACACCTCATACACGAGTGCTTGAATGTCGGTTGTTGTGCAGTTTGTTGTACACGCATGTATATATATATATATATATATATATATATATGTGTGTGTGTAATAA